GACAGGCTCCTCATTTGGGGGGAAATAAACAGGAAAACAAAAAACCACTATAGAATCCCCAACTTATTGGCAACTAGACCAAAGAAGTAATCACAAAATCATACTTACCAAAGTACATAATGACAAGAGCTATCCAATTCAAACACATTACTGGGATTGATGAAACTAAGACAGAAAGTCCATCCCTATTTGGGTAAACTCTTATTCCCACGTTACACTCCACACCCCTTAGCTTACTTAGTAAACTATCTCACAAATATGAGCCACTGGTCACAAGAGAGGCTACTGTGTACAGACATTTCAATGTAAGCACCTGACCACCACCACTAATCACAACTACTACGTACTCGGTCATTGTCAGTAGGCTTCTGGCACTCACTGAAGACAATGCATGTAGTGCTGTAACAACTCTTACCAGAGAAAACTTACAGCAATGTAAAATACCCCTCATAAAGAAAACCTGCAGGAGTAAGGATAGGGACATATGAAATGTGATAGAAATAAGATGCAAACCCAAAGCTTCACACATAAAGCAGGTTATTACTGTCACCCTTTGTACGTAGGCACTAATGGGTATTCCTGGACTTGAGCTGTGGTTGGAACTTCTGTTGATGAGGTTTGTTGTACTTTTTTGTTCATTCATTCCCTTAAATTGTTCATTTGAATCTTATTTTTATCACATTTCATATGTCCCTATCCTCTATCTTCTGCAGATTTTCTTCATGAAAATATTTTACAATGCTGTAAGTCTTCTCTAATGAGAATTACTATAGCACTACACTTGACTTTATTTGATCATGAATCACAAATTCTAAGACAAATGCAACTCTTTCTAGCTTGCCTTGACCCAAGTCAATGCAGGTGCAGAGAAAACAGTATTATATGAGTCATTTTCCTTATGGGTATGTATTTTAACTTTTGAGTACTTCAGTTCTTAAGAGCTCCTGGGGCAACAAAAGCAAATTTCATAGCAGGGTCAAAGATTTCTAACTTTATTTTCCTTACTAGGCCATTCATATGAGAATTACAAGGTAGTATGTCAAGTTGCAAGAAGTTAATAAAAAATAGGAAGTTGATACATAAGTTGAATATTTTATAACATCTTTGTTATCAACCTTAAAAAATGGTAACATAACCTACAACAGTAGTTACAAAATGCTAAGGCAGTATTACAGTAACAAATACAATCAAAGGCCACAATAAAATTTAAAAAAAAGTAAGAAATCAAATCCAATTCATTTCTTTGAGCTAACTTTCATCATTTCAGGAAGTCAGACTGTCTGATTTCAAATCCCAGATCCAACCCTAAATCACTCAGTGACACTTAATACTCACCTACCTAACTTCTCTGTACACCAACGGCCTTATCTACAAAATGGGATTAACAGTTGCTCACGACTGTGGAGGAGGATTAAATAGCTTAACAGAGGTAAAGTGCCGAGAACAGTGCCTGGCACCTAGCCAGCACTCAGCACCTATTAATCGTTATCATAATCATGATCATGGTTATCCTGAGAAGCATATTCCCATAGTGAGCAGGAATCACAAGCTCAATTATTATACATCTGAATTCTATATTCCGTTAATAATTGGAAAGTTATCAGAATACTGAGAAAGACTTGAATATGGAGCTGGAAAGTACACAGTTCAAAAGGGAGAAAAAAACGATGCTTCCACAAAGATAGTAAATACTAAAAAGGTTATTTAGTGTCTGAGAAGGAAAAAAAAAAAATCAGTAGGACTGAATAATTGACTTCCTTGAAGTACAGAGTAACACCTGTATGCAAAGTTAGCTCCGGAGACTTCAGAGAAAACGTGAATCGTCCCTTATGCAAGTTTATTTGTAGTAAAACAGTGATTTCTAGTAGGCTATGTAGCTAAAATGACATTTTAGACCATTAACGTCTTCTTTTAAAAAATTTTCCGTGATTGTTCGTTTTATATTTAGCTGCTAGCTACTGTAATAATATTCACCAAATGAAAGTCTCTCTACTCAGATACCAAACTTAAAAATATAAGGATATATTAAAGTATTAATATAACAATAAAAAAGCATAATTTCACCAGATAACAAGGAATCAGGTTATCAGTCACTACATTTTCAGAAAATTAAAAGGTTCTGCATCTTTGTTTCCAAGATACGATTTATCCATCTTTAGTAATTTTCGTACTACTACACACACCTAGTAAACTCAAGATATGTCAGTGCATTCATATTGGAGTGAAGCACATTCTACCTCTAAAATGGAGCTAATTCATTACCATTCTCAACACATCAAAACTCTCAGTCCAAAGAAAACTACACTCTTTTGGGCAGATTTCCTTAGAATAAAGACCTTATTTCAACATCATTCGTTTAGAAAATGCTTTGGAAAGATTTTGTGATGTATAATTGGAAGTGTTTCATGTCTTAAATAATCCAAGGTTCTATAAGTAGTACACGTGACTAACTCAATGTCAAAGAAACATCTAAGCAATAAAAGCAGTGGCTCTGATAATTACTAATCTAACTTTCCAATTTGTAAGAATAAACACAAGAGGAAAAGTAGAAGTGAACTATTACAATCTTAGGGTTGAAGTTTCATGGCTCTGTTAATTCTAAATCCTGGGCTTCAGCTATTTTCTAGAGAAAGAATAAAACTGTTACCAGCATATACTCTACATCTGCAAACTTGGAGCATGTGCTCAGAAGATGGAGAATTGTACTTTGCAATATGGTGGCTCTGTTAGGCAAATCAAAGTCTGTGTTCCATTATACTGAAGTCATTTGATTTATTTAGTTTTTAAAGGTTTTTTAAATCAATTTGATGAACAAAGTTCCTTTTTTAAAAATAAATACAACATATTTCTCTACAGTAGTTTATTTTTGATTGGTCTTATTTCCTATTTTTCCTCTCCATCCTACCAGACATAACGACAAGCAATTCAGTTTACTTTGTTGCTCTACTTTTATAAACTCACAGCAATATTATGAGCCAAATAAACAGTTAAACTTTTTTCATTAGAAAAATTCTTTTCTCACCAATACAGATCAGTTGAGATTTTCTTAAAAAGACGTTAATTAAATAAACACAACAGCAATTTCTCTGCACACATCTGTTCAAGTTTTACTTTTCGTCTCAAAGAGCTAAGGGACAACTGGTTCTTTTTTTTTAATTCACCTTCAAATTAAGCCACTTGGTTAAAAAACAAAAACAAAAAAAGGAGCTTAATGGCACAGATAGGGAGGCATTTCTTATACTCCAATCAGTTTGCAAGCAAAATCACTGGAGCAAATCATGTGTTGCTGGAAAAGAACAATAAATCCTTCAAGACCAGGATGTGCTACTTGCCCTCTATGGCAAGCAAACTCCCCTAAAAGACTTAACAGTGTGTCCAATATAAGCTGATATTACAGATCAATTAAAATAGTACTCAATCACTAGTCCCTGGTCATATATATTATAGCTAGGTCCACAAAAACATTGACCAAAACTACAAATCTAGGAACCAGAACTATTCTACACAAACCATTAGAAATTATGAATCACCAAAGTAAATGCATCCAAAATTTTGACTGCAGAGTCAACGCTAACAATTTTATATTGATGAGACTCTGTGAAGAATAAAAATGCTGGGTTAACTTTCACTTCCTTGTACACCAAAAGGTTTTATTGCTCTTATTGGAACAATTTACATTCTTTAGTCATTTACAAAACATATTAATTCCCAAACGTCTCCATAAAATTGGTAAGCATATACTACGTTAAGCAGTTAAGTCACTGGTTTCTTTTCCTGCAGCCAAACATGTCCCGTTTGAAACGTTACTTATCTTATGATAATTTAAAAATTGTGTTGGACAACGGCCATAGCTATTTTCCATGCTTCCTTCCATGTGCACCTTCTATTGACAAAATACTGTAGCAAGGTGGAATCTTACTTACAGAAGTCACACAGACATTGAAGACGAAATGAAAATGTATACATTACTGCAGTAAATACATACTAACAAACAAACGCAGTACTGATGCATCAAAACGTTACTTTTGTTTTTTTAAATGTAAGGTTATTGGTTGATCTGCAATGATGTGACTTCAAAAATAAAAACTCACAGTAGGACTATTAATGCCTATTTAAAACCCCTACAATACAGTCCTCTGCAACATTACACATTCAAAGATAGGCAAATACCTATACTTAGAGCACAGAACAAACATTTCCAAACACTCCGTTCTTAAAATTCCCTACACAATAAATTTTCTTAAGTTTCGTGGCATATATTCAGATCTTCGGAGACTTAAAAAAAAATTTTTAAGTGAGAGTAGAGTTGCTAATGTTTTTTTAGAAACTGTATTTCTGAATTTACCCACGTTAAAAAAAGGGAGGGGGGGCCGCGAAGAAGAACGATTATCAACTTCTTCAACGCACTGATGGCCCAGATACGTTAGGCTCTTTCCGGAACTTTGGAGGCTCTTGTAAAAATGCACAAAGAGAGACTAGTAAACCCGGTTACCATTGTGATTTGGTACCGGGAACCACTTCTTACTACTCTCTCTTCACAGCTCGCCCAGAACAGCGGCGCTCTCCGAAGTCCCAATCCTGGCAACGCCAAAGGGGACCTGAAAGCCTCTGGGCCAGGCAGGCGGCGGCCCGATTGCGGCGCCCCCCGCTCCTCAGCAGCTCCCGCACGTCAGGCCGGAGCCCACGGGCGAGGAGCTGAGGGACGGAGGAAGCGGCCGTCGCCGTCCCTGCGCGCCGATTCCTGCCCTTCCCGCCCGGCTCTACCTGCCGCCGCCCTCGCCCATCCCCAGCTCGCCTTGCCAGGGCTCGCCCGCGTCTCCAACCCACAGGCACCGGGGACTCTCGGAGGCTCGAGGAGCTTCCTGAAGGCCCGGCGCCGGTCCTTCCTCACACACCCCGCCGAGCGCGCCGGCCCTGGCCCCAGGCCTGCCTCCCGCCGAGGCCGTGAAAAAAAGGGAGGGAAGGGAGGGAGGAGACAGGGCCTGCCCAGAGCCAAGTACCTTGTAGAAAGCGCCATTGGAGCCCCGCACCTCCACCACCAGCTCCTCCATCTTCTC